TCTGAATTTCATCATAGATTTAAATCCTATTCCAGATTTGTCAAAAATTAGCTTTTGTGACCCAAGTAAAACGTCAAGATTAGCTTGACCTTGTGTAAACCTTGAAACGGTTTGTGATAAAAAATCAATTTTCTTTTGTAATTCTGAACAATTATTACAGGGTTTATTACATGCACAATCAGAATTATCATGAATTAATTTTAAGAAATCACAATCAGTTTCATCTTCAAGAATTCTCTTTTCAAGAGAGTCTACTTTATTTACTAACCAATTATTCAATCCTTTTAGCCTAATATTTTCTTTTTGCAGTTTCTTAGCCTCTTCTTTTGTCATCCCATGCTACATAGGCTCTTCTTTTGACTTTCTCTTCTTTCTTGTCATTATATTTGTTCTTTTCTGGGCACTCCATTCTTACATGGCCCTGCTTACCACAGCCATAACATTTAAAGTTAGAAGAATTAGTTTTTTTCTCATACCTTTTATGTTTTTCCTTGTCTTGAATCTTTTTCTTGAGAAATTTGTTGAATTTTCTGACAAGCAGTCCAAGATTCTCACTTTCCTCCTCTAATTCTTGATTTCTTTCTTCAACTTTGAGTGCTATACTTTTTCTTTTCTTCTCAGAGACTTCTTGTTCATTAAATCTGTTAATTTCCATTTCATGTTCTCTGAGTTTGCCAAACAAAGAAGTTGTTGTCATGACGGACAAATCCTTTGACTCTGAAATTGTTGTGACCTTTGGCTACCATGACCTGTCAAGACATTTCAAGACTTTAATATTTAATTCTTCTTTATCAAAGGTTTTACCTAGGCCCATTAGATGATTAATGATGTGAGTGAATCGCTTACGCACATTTGCAATGCTTTCACCGAGTTTGCATTTTGAACAGCTCATATTCTCTTATGAGAGTATGCTTTACGGCTCTCTTTACATCTGTTGTCCCTTCATGAGTAACCTCAAGAACATCCCACATCTCCTTGGCGATTTGCATTGGGAGACCACTGAAAAACTCATCCATGTTAAGTGCGGAAGTAATTATATTTTTAGCGAGTGCAATCATTTTGAACTTTTTTCTTTTACTCATCATTTAAAGCTGGACCATTCTTTTTACGTAATTAAAGGGCCATTAGCAATTACATCCCAAACATTTCTATCAATAGACTCAATAAAGATCTTCATCCTAATTTCCCAAAAAGGATAATCTGTTCCACAAAACGGTGGAGGTGCGTTAATAGAAGCTCTCTCGAAAACGGTAATCTGTTTTCGACCATGGATCGAAGAACTTGAATAACTCTCAAGCACCTCGCTCGATGCCAATTGTTAGAAAAGTAGGTTGAGATCAAGAGGGGGGTTGAATTGATCTTTGAAAGATTTTCGCAATTAACAGATTATCTATTTGTAAAAATAAGATTTCGGATCTGATCTTGAATCACACAAGCAATCAATCAAAAAATAAACGCAACAACGAAATTAAAAGAAGAGAAAGGTTTAGAAAGATATCACCGGTGTTTATACTTGGTTCACCCAATACCAGGGCTACATCCGAGTCTCTAGCCAAATTCCAGTTGGGTTCCACTAGATCAAATGTTTTACAGATTACAATCTTACACTTAATCTACCACAAGAACCACAATTCCAGTTCCTGCACCTAACCTTTCACCAAGAACCAAATTCCAGTTCTTGACAACCTCTACAACCAAATTCCAGTACTGAGAGAAACCAGTGCCCACAATTCTAGGCACCAAACAATACGATAAAAGAATGAAAAGAAATGAAAAGAAGAAACTAGAATGCTCAAACCAGTTTTATGCAATTCGCAGTAAGTGTTTCTTCTCCAAAAGAAAGCAATTTGCCTCAAGAAAGAATTTCAAAGAACTTCACAAAAACTAGCGCAAATCTTTCTTGAAAGAGTATTAAAGTTTGCTTGCTTGATTGCTAAAGGATGTGTAAAAGATTGATATTCGATGATGTTTAAAAAGTTCAAGCCAATGCTGTTTTTATAGAAGATTTTCAAAGCTGCTTGGTTTAATCAATTTGTTAAAATAATCTTTTAATCAGTTAAAAGTGTAGTTTTAATCTGTTAAAACTTCTTTTAATCCATTAAAACGTTCTTGATTCTTTAACAGATTTGTTTTAAGCGATACGACAACGTTTATATCAATTAAAACTCTTTACAAAAAATCTTCTAAATTGTTTTAATTGATTGTTTCAGTGATTCAATCGATTAAAATATCTGCAAAACTTTCTTGTAAAATTTTCCAAGTGATTTTAAGCTGATAAAAATAAGTTTTAATCGATTAAAACGCTGTGTAGAAATTTTCTAAGTTGTTTTAATCGATTGAAACGTGTTTTAATCGATTGAAAAAGCTCGATCGGTCATAACTCAATTCGATCAATCATATCGATTCTGATCGGTCATAATTGCATTCTGATCGATCATCCTGAACACTAAGTGGATTTAATCGATTAAAACCAAGTTGTATCGATTAAAATACTGCAAAAACACTTCTCTTAACATTTTAAGTGATTTTAATCGGTTATATCGAAGCCTTATCAGTTAAAACACTAACAGAAGATTTTCAAAACTTTCTTTAATGAAAACAACCGGTTATTTCGAAATTATATCGGTTAAAAACTTGTTTAAGAAAGCTTTTGTTAAAATACTTTGTTTTTAAGCTGCTTAAACGTTTTTAGAGGCATTTTGCAAAATCTTTTAAGTTAAGAAACCTCATGCAGTAGAAAAGATAAAAATGATTATACCTAAGCATAGTTGCGGACACACTAATCCCTTTATTCTTTTATCTAAGTGACTGTTGACAGTTATAAAGTTGACTTTGACTTTATCTTTGACTTTATCAAATCAATAAGATCTTTGCCAGAGTATTTTAATAAGATCTTCATCACTTTCAGAACGTATCGGACCACCAACCTCGACGAATTTAATGTGAGCATTGGGTTTGTCCGGCCCGAAGACGTGCTCACTCGGGAGTACCGGGAGGCCATCTGCGCGCGTCCCACCAACCTCACCGTCGGCGGAGGAACTCACCAGGTCGCCCACGCTGCCCACACTGATGAAGGGCTCAGCGCTACCCCCAGCCCTTTGCATTTGCCACAAGCTACTGGCGGGGACCATCCACGGGAGGAAGGAGAGCCAGGGTAAGGTAACCCTCCCTGATCTTTTTGCTCTCTACTGTATGAGCCAGAGGCGCCGCTGCAACCTTGGCTACTTCTTCCTGAGGGCCCTTAAGGACTTCGGGAGCAGGCCAGTAGGAGTCATCCTCATGGCTCCTCTTATCACTCCCCTGGCAGAAAAATGGGGGTGTGGTGGCCGGGAAGAACTGGCCTCCAGCTTACGACCCGAGTCCATCAACGGGTCGATCCTAGTCAGCATGGGGATGCTCATGCGCCGCGGGACCCAGCTGGTCCTCCACCCATCGTTGGATTTAGCCTTGGACCTCCAGGACATCGTGACAATGCACGATCTCCCGACACCTCCTGATTTCCAACAGCCACAACAGCAGCATCAGCAGCAGTACACAGATGACTTTGCTGGCCTAAACCGCAACATGAGTGATCTGCGCCAGCAATTCGACCAGATGTCGGTGAGGCAAGAGCAAATGTCTCTAAGACAGGAGGCCTTTGACACAAGGCTGGAAACGATATACCAGTACCAAGAGGGAATGAGGCAAGACTGGGCCACATTCTAGTAGGAATATCGCGATGAAGTCCGGAACCATAGTCATCGAATTTCTTCTATCTACTTTTTGATTCATATATCGATTTTTCCCCCAACATATGGTTATCGAACTCCTTCCATCCACTTTTCGATTCATTTATCGATTTTTTCCCAACATATGGTCATTGAATTCCTTCCATCCACTTTTCGATTCATATATCGATTTTTCCCACCAACACTATGATTCATATATTGTGAAAATCAATAATTTAAAGATTATGTAGAATAGTTTTCTAGATTGAATTAAAAATGTAAGAAAATTACATAATCTTTTGCATAAAACACCTCCAAAATGATTGTCATGAGAGAGAAGATTAAGATTATATTGATAAAATTGTTCCTTGTTTTTTAAAACATGGAACTTGTAGATATACTTACCAAGACTCTTCCAATACCAATGTTTAATCATCTATGTATCAAACTAAGAATGTTCGACCTATACTCTTAGGCTGAGGTGAATGTTAATGTTTCTATTTTTCTCGTTGCTCAACATCAACTTTTTTTTATATTTCTGCACTTAGTGTATTTTTTCTTTTAGATTAGGGTAAAAACAGTTTATTAGTTTTCTTATTTCTTTATCCAAGAAATACTATATTTTACTCTGCATTCAGTAAACAATTACTTTCTACCTTATATTGTCATTTTCTTTCTTTTTTTTATTATGTTTATCTTACTCTAATTTTCTTGTTGTATTTGTTAAGGTTAATCCATGCACTGATTCATTTATTTTGTTATTTTTTTTCTAACATGCAACAACACTCCAGTATAATTTAAATGGCTTGGATTAACATGCAACAACACTCCATTATAATTTAAATGGCTTGGATTTCAATACAGAAGAATTCAACATTTTTTGAGGTGAAATTTTATTTTAAAAGTTAAAATATAATATATGAAATATTTAAAATTTAAAATTAATAATATAACATAATATTTATTGAAATAAACATAATGTTTTTCAAGGATTTTTATTTTTTGAAGGAACGTAGAATGTATTAAATTTTATGGAGATAACTTAAATGTATAATCCTGACTCATTTTAAAAGAATATTGGGTCTATAATTTAAAATTCAAACAAATCTAAATTAACATTTTATGGAGATGAAAAAAATGGAAAAATTTAAGATTTTTAAGAGAATTTGAAGAATAAAGCGCAAGTGTTTAAAAATTAAAGAAAATTAAAAAAAAAAAAATCTTCGATTTTGGAGACAACAGAGTTTACCTAGTCCTAACTTTGGGGCATCTAAATCTTCACGTGGCCAACACATGGTTCTCAGTTTTCGACCACACACGTATCGATCTTGTTCCTCTTCTTTTCCACCGAATAAATCAAGGGTTATCAAATCGAAGCATCATCCCATCATTTTTGTTTACTTGTTAATGTTGGGTGTTAAGCGATGTTATGAATTGCTGAAGAATGGCTTCTCAAAGTTTGAGTTTTCCAACAGCGCATATTACTAGCAATAGAATAATTCAGAAGCTTCATTCCAAGGTTTTGTTGTGGCCTTTACTTGCTCATACCAAACCCAGAAGAATTTCTTCCTCAATTCGGGCAATGGTGCATCTGCTTCTTCCCAGTCACAACAATCGGACAGCGTAGAATCTGAAGCAGGTCTGGATTATATGGTGAAGTGGGTTTTCCTCACCTTTTTTTATTTTTCATTTTTTTTTTGTTGATTACATTTGGTTTTTTGTTCTACTGAAGTTACGAAATGAAAACTGTGTTGAACATGTGGATTCAGGGGACTGTGGGACACTGATAAGAGTTCCAGGTTGAGTTCTCTCAACTAATAGATTAATCTTTGGGGTTGACTCTCTTCTTTTGCTTAAGTCTTAATATTTGGTGTTCCCATTTGATAGTTAGGTTACAAAAAGGACTATTTATAGCTAGGTAAAGGGTTGCTTCAGTCCTATCAGACTTAATTTGATGCTGTGTACATGTTCTTTTGAAGAATGATGGTTTTCTTAAGGTTTAATATTTTCATATATCAATCTCCTTCTGACCCTTGCACGAACTTGTACTATTGACTATAAATCTTTAAGCGATGAAGACCCTTGCAGGAACTGGTACTATTGACTCTAAATCTTTAAGCGATGAAGAGTGTATGAAGCGGCTCCCGAATGAGCAATTCTATATTACACGTCAGAAGGGAACTCAAAGAACCTTTACTGGGTATGTTATTAAAATACCATTAGGAATTAAGGACACTATGCTCCCAAGTCATGCTTAGTTGTTCAGAGACATTTTGAAAATGGTTTTGCAGTACTGTACCTATGGCTTTAATATTTTCTGTCTCTCGGCAAGATAGATTGTACTCCAATGTATAGCTAGAATTTTGTTCTTGTGTCATTATTATTTATATCAACTTTTTCTTTTAATTCATTTTAGGGAGTACTGGAATACTAAAACCGCAGGGATTTACCATTGCATATGTTGTGACACACCTTTATTTGAGTAAGTGCTTTTATATCCATACAGACATCCTCTTAAATTGACCTTAATCATCTTGATCTAATTCACTTTGCCTTTTATAGATCATCTACTAAGTTCAATAGTGGAACTGGGTGGCTATCCTATTACCAACCTATAGGGAACAATGTGAAATGAAAGTTGGATTTGTCAATTATTTTCATGCCTCGCCAGGAGGTTCTTTGTACGGTTTGTGATGCGCACCTTGGACATGTGTTTGACGATGGTCCTCCCCGCACAGGAAAACGTTACTGTATCAACTGGTAAATAAATAATCACTTGAACAGTTTCTCCTTTTCAATCTTACATATTTCACCTTTGTCAAAGAATTTATATTTTTGTTCTTGAATTCCTGCAGTGCTGCTCTTAAGCTAAACCCAAGGCGGTAGATAGTTAAGTAACTCTTACTTAAATAAAGTAAGAGATTGTGACTGTTGAGAACTTGTAAATGATCTACATCTCATGTACTTTGTACGTTTTTTCTTATGCAGTGAGGGAAATCAAAATTGCCCTGCACTGGTGTTGTATAAAACACAAAGTAGATGGAATGTAGAAGCACAATTAATAACTGTCAGCATGAACTTACCGTTGTTTCTTTACTATGTGAAAGTTTTTACTTCAAAGGATACAATCTGTTTGAGAATTTGCAATTTGATTCTTTATTTTACTCATTTTGGATTTTAATTGTTTTCCAGTACTTTTTTTTCCTCAAAAGGATGAAATGAAGAAAGCATGGTGCTCTCTTACATGAAAAGGAAGTCAAGATTATCATTCTTGTTATGATAAAAGTATAATTTAGCGGCATAGGAGATCTATACCATTAACATACAAAATAGATATTATTTTGTGTTATAATATCTTGTCAACATAGATTACCTTATATTCTGTTAATGATTGTTGAGTTGGTTAGCATACACAGCTGGATTATGAAATTACTCTAAGCCTCAAATACTCGGGTTGCTCTTGTTATCAGTGTAGGTTGTTTTATTTTCTTACTTTTCAATCACATGAATCATAAAATGATATTAATGTTTTTTAAATTTGGATCCAAATTTGTTGAGCTCAACTCCTTTAATCAATGAATTTCATTGTCTTTCTTATTTCCTAATAAACTAGACAACCATAATTTTCTTCAGTGACAACTAGAAACCACTAGTTACTAAGGCACTGAATTTGTCTCTATTACGCTGTATCAATGTTTCTTACAGTACAAGAAAGTTCAACAATAAGAAAACCTAAATAAGATGGCCTTATATAGCAGTAAGATTCCATTTATTTAAAAATATGTACCAAGGAACTTGTGATATTGAGGTTTTGGCCATTGATAGCTAAGAATGATGATAGTGAATTGCTTGATTATTTATTATTAATGAGTTGAACTGTTCATTAACCTCTTTTGATGGATTACAATGTAGACAGGAAACTCCACCGTGATTTAGTTTACGAAAACTGAGGTTTTTGAACAATGCTTAGTAATTTGTTTTGTTTAGTGGTTTCTTATTAGTGAAACCATCAGATGTCTATGTCCGGAACGTTGGACTAGAGATTGGCAATTGGATATTTAATGAATGCATTGACTTTTTTAACTTATGTAGTCAAACTGATATTCTATCATTTAAGTTTTGATGTATAGTACTGATCTTCCTTGATTCCTATTGAACTAGACAGCCATAATTTACTTCAGTTCCAACTAGGAACCACTAGTTACTAAGGCACTGAACTTGTCTCTATTGCACTGTATCAATGTTTGGGAGCATTGTTTACTTCTTACAGTACAAGAAAGTTCAACAATGAGAAAACCTAAATAAGATGGCCTTATATGTTCGTGTTTTTTAAGGGTGCATACCAACTCCTAAAATTGAGCTGAGTTCGGTGAATTAGCCCCCAGTAGTCTTATTGAAGGTGTTTATTTACTATCTATGATGATTTTGTTTGCTTGTTGGACTCTGGATATCAGATTGGTGATCTTCTACTATAGAAACCATGTTCAGGTATTTAATATATATGACTCATGATCGAAATTAACTCACTGCATGACTTAATTAAATGTGTTGTAGACCAAGCTTTTGTAAACTGTGATTAATTTGTTGCACAGATAATTGAAAAGTTTGCATGTGTAATTGAGAAAAATACTAAATAAAGAGACTTTCTAAGTTGGCTAAGGTATAGATATGGACTAAAGATTTAGTTGTCAAAGTTTGTTAAATGATTTATGGTATGGGATTGAGACAGCGAAATGAGATGAGAGTTACTTATATAACAATAAGATTCCATTTATTTTAGAATATTGAAGGAAGTTGTGATATTGAGGTTTTGGCCATTGATAGCTAAAAATGATGATATCGAATTTGCTTGATAGTTATTATTGATGGGTTGAACTGTTCATTACCAATTTTTGATGGATTAGGAGGTAGACAGGAAACTGCATACTCTTTTAGTTTTGTCAAAATAATTCTGACTCCTTGAATTTCAACTGTCAAAGGCTTAAAAATGATAGTCAAGTACTATCTTAGAGGGCAAGTTGATAATTTCCAACTCTGGCAATTTGGAAGGTGTGAGGGAATTCCCTGCATATACACCATAATGTCCAATTAATAGCACGAAACGAGTGGAAACTCTGTCCAAATAATATCTTCTACCACTTTAATGCCCCCACTAGGGTCACAAGCTAATGCTACCTAGCTCGGCGAATGGTCTTGTTAGTCAATGCCTTATAAACCTTCCTTTAGTCTATTATGTGTCCGATGTGGGCCCTCAAAGAATCTAAATTTGCTTTTCGTAATATTTCCTCCCAGAGAATAATTTGTGCTCAGATATTTCTTCTCATCTTATTTTGCACAGATAATTTAAAAGTTTGCATTGGTAATTGAGAAAAGTATTAAATAGATAGACTTCTTATTTGGCTTAGGGAATGATAAGGACTTAAGATTTAGTTGTTAAAGCATGTTAATTGATTTATAGTATGAGATGCACAATGTGGGTTGAGACAGCGAAATGAGATGGGAGTTACTTATATAGCAGTAAGATCCCATTTATTTAAAAATATGTAACAAGGAACTTGTGATATTGAGGTTTTGGCCATTGATGGCTAGGAATGATGATAGTGAATTGCTTGATTATTTATTATTAATGAGTTGAACTGTTCATTAGCCTCTTTTGATGGATTACAACGTAGACAGGAAACTCCTATCATTTAAGTTTTGATGTATAGTACTGATCTTCCTTGATTCCTATTGAACTAGACAGCCATAATTTTCTTCAGTTCCAACTAGGAACCACTAGTTACTAAGGCACTGAACTTGTCTCTATTGCACTGTATCAATGTTTGGGAGCATTGTTTACTTCTTACAGTACAAGAAAGTTCAACAATGAGAAAACCTAAATAAGATGGCCTTATATGTTCGTGTTTTTTAAGGGTACATACCAACTCCTAAAATTGAGCTGAGTTCGGTGAATTAGCCCCCAGTAGTCTTATTGAAGGTGTTTATTTACTATCTATGATGATTTTGTTTGCTTGTTGGACTCTGGATATCAGATTGGTGATCTTCTACTATAGAAACCATGTTCAGGTATTTAATATATATGACTCATGATCGAAATTAACTCACTGCATGACTTAATTAAATGTGTTGTAGACCGAGCTTTTGTAAACTGTGATTAATTTGTTGCACAGATAATTGAAAAGTTTGCATGTGTAATTGAGAAAAATACTAAATAAAGAGACTTTCTAAGTTGGCTAAGGTATAGATATGGACTAAAGATTTAGTTGTCAAAGTTTGTTAAATGATTTATGGTATGGGATTGAGACAGCGAAATGAGATGAGAGTTACTTATATAACAATAAGATTCCATTTATTTTAGAATATTGAAGGAAGTTGTGATATTGAGGTTTTGGCCATTGAAGCTAAAAATGATGATATCGAATTTGCTTGATAGTTATTATTGATGGGTTGAACTGTTCATTACCAATTTTTGATGGATTAGGAGGTAGACAGGAAACTGCATACTCTTTTAGTTTTGTCAAAATAATTCTGACTCCTTGAATTTCAACTGTCAAAGGCTTAAAAATGATAGTCAAGTACTATCTTAGAGGGCAAGTTGATAATTTCCAACTCTGGCAATTTGGAAGGTGTGAGGGAATTCCCTGCATATACACCATAATGTCCAATTAATAGCACGAAACGAGTGGAAACTCTGTCCAAATAATATCTTCTACCACTTTAATGCCCCCACTAGGGTCACAAGCTAATGCTACCTAGCTCGGCGAATGGTCTTGTTAGTCAATGCCTTATAAACCTTCCTTTAGTCTATTATGTGTCCGATGTGGGCCCTCAAAGAATCTAAATTTGCTTTTCGTTATATTTCCTCCCAGAGAATAATTTGTGCTCAGATATTTCTTCTCATCTTATTTTGCACAGATAATTTAAAAGTTTGCATTGGTAATTGAGAAAAGTATTAAATAGATAGACTTCTTATTTGGCTTAGGGAATGATAAGGACTTAAGATTTAGTTGTTAAAGCATGTTAATTGATTTATAGTATGAGATGCACAATGTGGGTTGAGACAGCGAAATGAGATGGGAGTTACTTATATAGCAGTAAGATCCCATTTATTTAAAAATATGTAACAAGGAACTTGTGATATTGAGGTTTTGGCCATTGATGGCTAGGAATGATGATAGTGAATTGCTTGATTATTTATTATTAATGAGTTGAACTGTTCATTAGCCTCTTTTGATGGATTACAACGTAGACAGGAAAC